GTTGTTGTAACCAATATATAGTCAAAATCTAAGACTAAGTATACGTTGACGGATATTTTTTTTTTCACTGGTAAAAATATTTTATTGTTTTGTGCTTGATCTACAATTTAAGTTGTTCCTTAAATCGATCCATACTTTGATACACTTTAATTTTTAGTGGTACAAAATTGCTTTTGTAAGATATCACACGGAACAATCAAATTATAAACGTAAAAATGATTTAAATTATGGAATGCTTTCGATCGTTAAAATATCTAAAGAATTTTCCATGCCAGCCTTTAAAGTTGTTTTTCAAGACACAAGTAAAATACTTATATCAGCACAATCTTTTTTTGTTACATGCGTAAACTATTGTTTGAATTTGCAATAGCTGAACACCTAGCTGTTTTATGGCAATGTGGACCATGTAATAGTATTTTTATTAGTATCAAACAATTTTATATGAAACGTTAAAAAACAAAGATTTAGTAATATTACTCATTGATAAGATTTTTTAGTTAGTTATTATTATTTTTGTTACAGTCACTATGGCTGCTTTAATTGAATTAACTTTGCTGTATATAGTTGATCAAATTTTGACTGAATTAATTTGTCTCATGTGGATCTTTTATTAGAAAAAAGACTTTAATGGTTACCTAAAACAAAGCTTTATGATAAACTTCCCTTACTTATGCAGCAATATATCTTTGTCATCTGCAAACAGAGTTTATATCTCTCAGTTTTATAGGTCCGTGTTTGCTCCGCTCCTATTTTGTAATGTTTAATGGACTTTTGAGCTCAAAATTTGTTCGTTACCTCCATGTACACATTTCATTCCTTAATTGTCTCATTGAGTTCTGAACTTGGAACTTTGATTTACTATTATAGTGAAAACTTTGGAACTTTGATTTACTATCGTGAAAACTTTGGAACTTTTGGATGTAATATCTTGAAAACTTACACATTTCATTCCTTAATTGTCTCATTGAGTTCTGAACTTGGAACTTTGATTTACTATTATAGTGAAAACTTTGGAACTTTGATTTACTATCGTGAAAACTTTGGAACTTTTGGATGTAATATCTTGAAAACTTTGGAACTTTGATTAATTGTAGTAAAAACTTTGGAAATTTGTTCGTTACCTCCATGTACACATTTCATTCCTTAATTGTCTCATTGAGTTCTGAACTTGGAACTTTGATTTACTATTATAGTGAAAACTTTGGAACTTTGATTTACTATCGTGAAAACTTTGGAACTTTTGGATGTAATATATTTTTCACATTTTATTCCTTAATTGTCTCATTGAGTTCTGAACTTGGAACTTTGATTTACTATTATAGTGAGAACTTTGGAACTTTGATTTACTATCGTGAAAACTTTGGAACTTTTGGATTTAATATCTTGAAAACTTTGGAACTTTGATTAATTGTAAAAAAACTTTGGAAATTTGTTCAACCTCCATGTACACATTTCATTCCTTAATTGTCTCATTGAGTTCTGAACTTGGAACTTTGATTTACTATTATAGTGAAAACTTTGGAACTTTGATTTACTATCGTGAAAACTTTGGAACTTTTGGATGTAATATCTTGAAAACTTTCACATTTCATTCCTTAATTGTCTCATTGAGTTCTGAACTTGGAACTTTGATTTACTATTATAGTGAAAACTTTGGAACTTTGATTTACTATCGTGAAAACTTTGGAACTTTTGGATTTAATATCTTGAAAACTTTGGAACTTTGATTAACTGTAGTAAAAACTTTGGAACTTTGATTTACTATTAGTGAAAACTTGGGAACTTTCATAAACTACATGTATATTCTGAACTTGGAACTTTGATTTACTATAGTGAACACTCTTGAACTTTGATTAAGTACTATAAAACCTTTGAAATTATGTTTTCAAGCTTAAGATTAATTAAAGCTTTAGAGAATTTTTTAAAAACCCACCCGTCCCCCAAAAGAATGATATACGAGAAATGAATTTTAATGTAAAGTTTGTCTCTTGCTTCGATAAATAATCAATATTTATTTAAATCTATTTAATCTTATTTTCATGCAAATGTAATGTAAGTTTATTTATGGAGAAAAAAATACTATAAAATAAAATTTGTGTCATTTGGAATCAAAATATTTGCTTCATCAACTTCAGTCAACATGTTCATAATTTTTTGTTGTTGTAAATATTGCTTGAATTAATTAATGTACTTTGTATATTTAAATCAAAATGTACAGAAAACCCAGCCCCAACCAACCCATATAACCACCTTAAACAGTTAAATGATAATAATAATAATAATACAAAATAATACAAATAAACATACATAATTGCTAAACAATCAAAAAAAAAAACTTTAAAACTTTGATTAAAAAAAAAAAGTAAAATTGGTTTTCTGAGGAATTGCAATTCCATTAGATGGAATTTTCTTTCTATTCCTAAATGCCGATCGTGTCCGACATTTTTTCAAAAGTTTTTTAGTAGTTAGATCACCTTTTGGATTACAGTTGGTTGTATCCTGCAGATGTATAAATAAGGCTTTGAACAGAATTCATTTTTTCAGGGAAGAAAATAAAATCTCTGCTCAACACCTTATTCACAGAACTCATTTTTGCACAAAACAATATTTCCAAAACTACTTTCATATTTTATGTCGTAGCAAAATTGTATTTTAGGATATGTTTGATAATCAATATCGTGTACAAAAATAAGCAGAATCTGTGCTCCATTTCCTTAATTTTTGAATGGTAATGAATCTTTTCATTAAATACTGAAATGAGAAGCCCATGCGCCTCAATTTCACCTGAGCAATTTACATGATCATGATACATGTAGATTTATTTATTTTATGTATGATGCATTCATATTAATATAAATTCCAGAACAATTTTACAGCTCTTTCATATAGTAAAGAACGAAGAAAAGGTCATTTAGAGGCAAACACGTGTATTTCTAACTAAAGGCAGTATGTACTAGTAGTTGTTCTTATACTCATTTCTTGAATGAACTATTTAAAAAGAGTATGCTAGGAAACGTTGTTTTCAATCCCAAATTAGATTTTTCTGAAAAAAAAATGAAAATTTTGAAACCTTATAGCACATCAACAGGACTCATTATTCATATTACAGAAGATATCGATAATTTGGCAACCACTTAAAGAGGAGTTAAGGACCCAGGCAATTGTAGAAAGTGTCGTTTTTCGTCCAAAAATTGGCCCAAGGATAAGCATCAGAATTTGAAATCACTAAATTTTACAAAAAAAATTATGAAAGCATACGAAATTTCAACAATTTTTGCAACAATTCACCAAGTTAAATTAAAATCCAGTTTTTTATGCATCAATGACAACTTCTTTAAAAAAAATGGAACTACTTTTTAATTCATCTGCAAAATTATTTTGTTGAAAAAACATTTTGGTTGAACATACAAGTATTCTTAACTTGATTTTGAAGAAGATGCATTAGTTTCTGATTGACAATATCAAGTTAGTTCTTGGAGAACAAGTCTTCCTACAATCTGTTGGAATTTTTACGGGTATACGCGCAGTGTGGCAACGCACTTTGAAAAAATTACCCACCCACCCACCCCACCCTAAGGTAAGCCCCAAATTTTAATTTCTATATTATGTATATCTTTGCGAAACAATTGTGGCTATCCCCCCCGGTACTGAGGCCCGTGCTACACCAAAATATATGTATTTGCATACTATAGTAACTGTATTTGCATAACTTGTGTGACGTTGAAAACTTTCAATAAATTTCAGTTTGCATTAAATGAAAGCAAACTCGAAAAAAATAAGTACAGTAAACAATTAAGAGAGAAAGAATTTTCTAAGTATGGAAAAATCCAAATCGCTCACTTTCACATCCTGAAATGACCTTATCACCGAAAAGTTATCCAAAAGGTTCAATTATTCACACTGTATCATACCTAAATTTTCAAGAATATTGACCAAGCCATACACATTTTTTTTCAAAGTGCGTTAATATGGTCGATATCAACGCACTTTTTTTTATTTTTTCAAAGTGCGTTAATTTGGTCCCAAATTTAACGCACTTTGAAAATTTTTTTCAAAGTGCGTTGTAACAACGCAGACCTATTTTTGCATTCATTAGAAGCAGACTCACTTATTCAAAAACTTGAAAAAAAAATTCTTTTTGGTCTTCAACTCAACATTTAGATAAATTGACGATGTTTTAACAATTAACAAATGAATATTCATTTTTTTTTCTACTTTGTTTCAATACATCCCTCTGAACTATAAATAAAGACGCCACAGGAGTCTGACACACCTGTTTCATAAGTATACTAGTAATTCCATATCTGGATATTTTACTACAAAACAATATTAATTTCAAATCAATAACAAACCACGAGAATCGTGATTTCAACTTTTCTATTTCAGCTGTAACAATATATGTATCAATATACAATTATCACCTGCATATAGAGTTTATGTCTACCAGTTCATTCGATACGTGGGTGGATGTTCAACATTCTCTGCCTTCTGCCTTGAAACACTTTTTTTTTCTTAAAAAATAGAAGGAAAAGCTGTTCAATCCCCAAAATTGACTTTGATAGAAAAACATCTTTATAGAACAAAATTGCCCACCTGTCTGAAAATGCAAAATTCAGAAATCCTAGACCGTTTAAACAATAACAGCATATCACAAATCAAATTCCTATTAGTATAGATTAGGAATTAGCTTCTACAAAATTTCAGAGAAGTTCTGTGGCACAGGTGTTTGTAGAAAGTAAAATTCCGACTCCATTTTACTTAATGGGTGAAGATTAGAGCCCGAAACCTTATTCACTATCTACAAGATAGCACATATCTTTTATAAAAATTATTCCAGCAGTGCTTGAAATGTACGGGGAATATAAAGAAGAATATAATTTAATTGACTGACAGGCCAAGAAAACAATATTTCCGAACAATGTTGAGAAAATGGGACTTTAACCAAAGAATATTCCTATTTCAACAAATGTTATAATAAATATTATTTTTTCCTACAGAAGAAATCCACCCAACATGTCCGGGACAGAGAGACGTAGCGCAGAAGAAAGTGTTGCAAACAAGCAGAAGGAGCCCCATTCTCTAGTCTGTATAACCACATTCCTGGAACTTATAGTCCTAGCCTTCATTGTATTGGTCGAACTCTTACTTAGGTAAAGATGATTTCAGTTAAAATTTATCAAAATGAACAGATTTGAAAAGGGGAAAATTAAAAAAAAAGCATGTTTTGCATATTTTAGGGGTTTTTAATGATGAGTAATTTAGGAAATTAATTTTTAGGATTAACTTTAAGGTTAGGCTGAGTTGTGAGGAAATACTTAGAATAAGTTTAGAAGTAGAATTTGCTTGATTAGTGAATAAACCCAATAACGAAAACAATATCGTTCAGAAAAGTTCATTTCAAATCCTAAATTTTCTGTGTTGAATGAAATATACGGAGATTGCGAACAGCATTCAAGCTCAAAAGTCCGTTAAACAATACACATCTTGAAACAAAGCAAACATTGGCCTCTAAAACATCAGAGATGGAATTAGGTGCCATGGAGGAATAAGTATCCCCTTCCGACATGATATAATTTTTTTTAGATTGATCTGATTAGCATGTAAAGAGTTCTATTGAATGTAATCTCTGTTATTTTTTGTGAATGTTTTCATTTCTAGATTTACAACAATATTTCCTCTCCGACGTCAGCCATTTTCCTGTGTGGACGAGTCCATCAGTCGACAGACAAAACGCTCACAATTCATTGGTTTCGCCTTCAACTCGGACCTGCCAGATTCCATCGTGTATTCTCTCAGTTTTTGCCTTCCCCTATTTATAGTTGAGTATTACTGTTGGTGAAAAACTTTTCACATGCATGTATATACATTTTGCACTTACTTTAGCATTGGATTTGCATGTATTTTTTATTCCTAAGCAGAACTTTTATTGAAACAAGCAAATTTTTTCCTTTTTTTTTTTATTACAGAACTTTTGATTTTTATAAAAGAAGATGTACTAGGTACTTTTATTGCATCCTCTCTACTTTCGATGCGTCATACAATTGCCATTTTCTTGCATAACTTTCATTGAAACTTTCTTCTTTATTTCTGTCTCGTTCGATTATGAAACATAAAAATACTTTGTCGTGTAGAAACAAGAGAAGGGATAAAAAATTAAATAAGCCAAAATACATTAATAACATAAAATTTAACTGTAAACAAACAACTTAAAAACATCAAATGATGCAGCCATTTAAAGTGTCAATACATGTTCATCAAGGTTGAGACTCACTGATAATTTTTTGAAATTTATACATCTGATAATAATTTACATATATTAAATCAGTTCATCATCTCCATAAATAATATGTTGACATCATATTTCAGAGATGTGTTATGTATTTTCAGATTTTAGTGGGAGAAGTAGGACTATGGGCTTTTGCTGAAGATCGCCAGAGAACAATCCGAGTTCTTTGTCGCAACTGCAGGGTACCACAAGTCACACGCAGACTCGTTAGGTTTGTAGGTAAGTCAGAAGTAGGGAACAAATTGTTTGAAAATAAATGCTTTTGAAAAATTAATGAAGGTTTTCGACTCACAGCAGTAAAAGTTTACCATACCTTTTCCAAATCCTATAAAAGTCTCAAAATAGCACCAACTGTATTCATGCAGTATTCCTATGTACTCGGTATCTCAAAACTCGAGTTCTGAGTTATCTTTCTTATATCAACCCATAGAAGGTTCTTCATTGTTATGATGGATGAAAGTCTCTGACACTTTAACAGCGCGGTTTACATGTATAATGATTGTTGAATTATTTATCCTTACTTGTCCCTGATCCTTGAAAAAGTGGAAGTACATAAATGATTCACGACAAACAGTAGAATGAAATATGAACACAACGAACGGTAATCATGTTCAAAAGTCCATTGAAGCAATACAAATCAGGAACAGAGCAAAACGCCGACTTCTAAAAACATTAGGGGTAGGATCAGGTGCTATGGAGGGGTAAGCATCCCCTGTCTACCGGTCACATCCGCCGTGTGATCCTTGTCTTGATGAGGGAAATGAAAAAATATAAAACGACAGTTCATTGTGTGAATAATGCCCCAACAATTAGTTTTAATTCAAATCGTCAGTCAACATTCGCTACTTTTAAATCAGAGATTGTCTTTGCTGTCAATGTCATTGCATTGACAATGGAACTTGAGAAATGAGGATTTTAAAGGAGACTGTTGATATTTTTTTTGTTTGTCAATGGCTTGCTTCGCTTTAGAAATTGTTCGTAGGTAGAGCATATGCTCTCAATATTTAATCAACTGAGAAACATAAACCCTATGGGCAGGTGAACAGGTGATGAGGGTATATTGCTAATTTAAAGATAGGGGAAGTCAACGATAGAAAAGTTAAAGTCATCACGTTTATCATGTAAAGTTTTGTTAACATAAACATCTTTTAGAATATCCAACAATTACTGGCTGTAAGACTTGAATTTGGGTTACTTTTTGGTTAGGTCAATTAAAAGAGATGAAGATATGCTGTATGTCATTTAAACATCATTTTGCTCCCCTCTAGCGAAAGCATTTCCAATCTACCTCTGATGAAACTCGCTTCCCCTGCATGATCAAATATATCATATATGCCACCCTTTAAAAATTAATATAGGTATTTAGAACTACCCGTCCTGTATGATTTGAATCCAATCTTCACCCACTGAACACTTTGCATGTTTAATGAACTGTCAATGGGTTGGCGACATAATTACGTGACAATCGATGGTCGTTACAACGATCGGATTTAGACATAATCGACATCTTGTTTCGTGACACACTTTCTTAATAACAAATACCAAAACAGAATCTCTCGAGCTTCTGTTTTATGGCCCGTTAACAAAATGTTAAGTGAATGGAATTGCTCTAAAAGGGGGAAGTGTTGTAAAATGTGTTTCTATCACGATGATTTCAGTGGCTTATGCTTAAAACGATAACGCCAACTCATATAGTGCTGATCAGCATAACATCAAACTTCCCTTCCTGTAAATATACTTTGAGCACTGAACGGGAACCCACAACATTTCTACCCTTAATTGTAAAATAATTTTGAATCGACTCTAATTTGGTTAAAAAAGGTTAAAAACTAAGCAAACACGATTTCTTGTTTATTGGAAAATCATAAAAATCCCCTTCATCATTCACGACAATGTTTCTTCGTGACTGTTCTCATGCAGATTCATTTTGTTTCGGATGTTGAAGGTTAAATTCTAAGGCTTTCTTATCTGTCATCATCTCTAGTTAACATGATTATGCTTGGAACAGATCAAAGGATTATCGCATTATCAACAGAATTCATCCCTTTAATTATTTATTGTTTAGTCGACTATCCTGTGAAGATTAACCTATTAAAATCATCCTATGTCTGGGGGACTAGGATATTAACTATTAACTAAAGTGCATACAGTGTACTTGTATATATTTACGAACCCGAGATGAAATATCAGGGGAGTATTGTTTTTGTTCGTCTTTCTGTACCCTTTCCTATAACCTTCAGCTTACAGCTGGCTCATGATCAAACATTTCTAATATTTATGATTTAATCACTATTAGTTATAGTAACTATCTGTATCAATAATAAATTCTTAATTATAATTTACCTGCACTTAATAAACATTATATAATTATTTTAAAATACCTTTCTTTGTATTTACAGGTGTTTTTATATTTGGAGCATTCACTCTTATGGTTTTTGTTGACGTCACAAAGCTTATGACCGGGCGTTTACGACCAAACTTCTTAGAAGTTTGTAGAATAAACCAGACGGCATGTAAACTTAACGAAAATCATGGAGATGAAAGTATGTGTCTTGAAAAAGATGAGATGGCGTTGAAACATGCGAGGTATATCCACCTACGACACGGTATATATTAAAGTTATATCCACCTGCGACACGGTCTATACTAGTATTAAAGTTTATAGTACATAGAGAAATTGGTATGATTTGATGCTTTAAACTATATATATAATCTGAAATAATATATTTTTCCATGAAATGAATGAATTTTATTGAATATTCTATATTTAGACATCATATGCAAGAAGCTATAATGGTTTTGACAAAGTTCGGTAAAACCAGTTTCTTATGAATTTTCTTTGGATTTAGAATAAAGTTTTCTTTCTTTTTCTCTCTCTCCCTTTTCCCCTCTCAAATGAGAATTCTAGAGTTCTTTTGATTCTCAAAAGGTAGGAGAATTTCTTCAAATAAAGAGGAGCTACACTATCTTGTAGAATAAAAAAAAATGTTTTTGCCCTTTCCTTTATTTATTTAACAGATTTCAACCTAAGCATAAATACAAAACATTTCTGACTGAATTTTTTGGATGCTACAATTATTGTAGCTGCTTCTACTTGAATGTTTTCTGAAAGATTAGAATGTTCTTGCGAGAAATTATCACAGATAATGATACTATATTCTAACATTTTCCCAATAAGGGCGAAATAGATTTTTCTTGATGCACTTTAAAAAGTTTGTTCATCTTGTGAGATGGACTTTTAAAAACTCTTTTATGTTTTATATTGTGATAATTGGTGTATTTACAGTGTCTTCTTTGTGTATATTAAACAACATGTATCCCCAAGATATTGACGTCAATCGGAAGTCTGGATACGTGCATCAGATTCCGTTCATTATCTGCTTTTGTTACACACTCATATTCGCTTGCCAAATGACTTTTTATATAGAAAGGGAATAATATTATTGTGTTTCGTAAGCAAATCATCGATTAAAAGTTGAAAAATGTAAATAATGCCGTTTTTATTAATATTTTTTTTTTTACTTATTTCTGTAAAAGGTTGCATATGCTTGTGCAAAAACAGAAAATATATATATATATATATATATATATATATATATATATATATATATATATATATATATATATATATATATATATATATATATATATATATATACTTGTATATCTTTATTCTTTAGAAAAACATTATTCTTACGTTTCCTCCCAAAAATAAAATTATCAAGACATGTTAATAGGAATATTTTCATCTTGACTGATCTTCCTTTATCAACGTTTTCTCATATGTAAAAGGACCTTTTGGAATGAATTGCAGAAATAAATTATTCAATAAAAGTTAATAGCAAAATCGTGCATATGACTTAAGATTGTATAAGATCTAAGGCAAGAAATGGTCATTGTCCCTTAAGCTTCATGTCCAGTAACCTCCTGTTAACTCACTAGCTAAACTTAAATTCAGTTCACAAACTTTTCTGTCTATAACACCGAGTTTGAAGTGTTGGTCTCCTAAGCCAAAGACAAGTCTATCAAAAACGAATATTGTTTTGCTATTTAGTTACATGTATTTAGGTTTGATTTTTGAGTGGAAAAGATCTGAGCAATTAAAGCCCTTAGGATTTGTCACACATTAACCAAATATTGATGAATTTAAACCATCTGATTTTATTTTTTGTTATTTTTATCCACTTTGTTTTCCTTTAAATAACATTTCATAATCAGAAAGAGTCCCATTTGTTGATGGCATTCATTAATTCCATTGTATGCTATCAATGAAAAGGCAAACTCATTTTTAATGCATTGAAAGCCTAATCGATTCCCTGCCGTTTTATTGTCTTGTCATAGTTTTGTCCGCAGAGAGAAACTGATTAATTGTAGCTAATGTTGGCATATAGGAGTTATCTCGTAATACTCTGTTGCCTTTTTAGGTCTTCGTTTCCCTCCATGGATGCTGCGTTATCGTCTTATGCTGCTATGTTTATTTCGGTAAGCAACAAAGGGGTAAAAATCATCCTGTCACGATAGTTTGTGAGTAGGAGTTGAATAGTTAACAGATTTTTTTTCACAAAAATATCAAAATCACTGAACTTATATTACAATTATTGGTCATATTATAAACATCAGTGCCTTTTAAAAAAATTACATGAAACCAGAGACAAAAATTGCCAGGATTCGCATATAATATGAAAGTGCAAGCGTATTGGATTTTATTTCTTTTGTATATGGATCTGAGTTGAACTAATTTAAATTGAACGATATATTGATTTGTTATTGTAATTTTTCAAAACTAAACATTAATAATTACTAAAAGCAATCTAGCCAAATAAAGAAGTCAATGATTAAATGTTATCTTTGAGATATCTGTTGATATTTCAAGTTTCTCCTTTGTTATTGTATTTAAATAAAGAAACTTTCAATATATAACATACATAAAAATATTTATAATAATTGAAAGTTTTTTTTTACTTCGTTACCATTGATGAAACTCAATAAAGACCAGAGAGAATAAAGTAATTTAAGGACTTACGCAAGATACCTTACCTACTGATAATTTTTCAAGATATTCTGAATTTAAACTTATAATACCATTACATGTTCTTTGACAAAAAATCTGCATGCGTTACCAGGGATTTTGAAAAGATATCAAATTGTGAAAAAATTTGCATTATTCAAAGAAAGCTGTACAAAAATTACAAAAATAAATTCCTGATTTTTTTCAGCAAAAATTGATTTATAAGAGGTGTACAAATCCATATATAGACATTAAAAGTATTGCACATAGGTCCTTCTTTTAGTGGAACTCTTCAACTCCATGGAAGAACCCAATAAAGTTCAAACTGCGTTGCGTATGACCTTCAGACATAGCTATGAATTTTGCGATGTACCTGTATTTGTAAAGGATTTAAGAAAAGTCATTAGTTTCTTTGGTCAATACAATGACCTTGTCTGCAAATACAATCTTTCATTAAGTGACATGCTGGCTGAGGTTTTTCATTAGTACATGTATTTATTAGACCATTATTTACACACTGAATTGTCGACGAATTGTGCCGTTATTTCTGATTATGACAAGAAGCACACGGCAGATGTGACAGATCGGCAGGAGATGGTACTAGATTCATTCCCTATTGTTTAGACATCTTTTTGTTTGCTCTGCTCCTGATTTTTATTGTTTGAATGGACTTTTGAGTTTGATTACTGTTTTTTTTCTTCTAAGTTTATTATTATTTTACATGATACAAATAATAAAAAATCAAAACGAACTACTGGAGACATGGGGGGGGGGGGGGGGGGTCCAGGTTAAATTGAGAAGTAAACATCCCCCGGTCACATCCTTCGTATGCTTCACATCAGGTTTGGTTGAACGCCAATTTATGTAGAAAATTCTGCGTGAATATAATGACCTAACAAAGACTTCAGTCGAAATTTGACTTCACGACACATTGCAATTGCAAACACGGTTATTGTATCGCCATAAAGGACAAGCCCCCTTTTTGGTCCCTGATTTTGGGTGTCTTTCAGAATGATGCAGCAGTTTATCCATAAAAAGCTGTTGTCACCCCTGCCACAGAATGAGCTTTGGTTCTAAGTTTTGAAATACAGAGAGATCACAAAGAGGTCAGAAAATAGGTCAATTTTCGATTTTTCTCATTTTTATGCAATTTTTCACCGATTTTACACCACATTTGTTTTGGAAAACATAGAGCACAAACTTGCCTATTACACTTCTTTTACACTAGTATCAAATGAAGTTATGTGTAAAAATCTTAGATAGGCAAGCGTATGCTCTATATATGTTTTCCGAAGAGAAAAGTATTTCAAATATGATGAAATTCCAGCAGAATTGAGAACATTCGGGAAAATGTCCTACTTCTGCACCCTGTAGTAACTTGAATGTAAACATTGAAACCAAATTAGTGTTGGTTTTAAAGCAAGCATCATTTTAAGTTCTTAACTACAAACTATCACAATTTTACGAGTGTTTTGATTTTTATATCGAATAAGGGGCCAGATTTGGTCGTTACCCTATCTTGTCCTTTGCTAAGTATTGATTTTTAAACGAGATTGTTGATATTCTTGTATCAGCAACTTTTTTCATTGCCTACCCAAATTTAGATTCACCTTTACGTATGTAACCAACTTGGAGGCATGAACGCCAAATGTAAGTGATAAAAATATATGTCTGCATCTTTCATTTAAGTTAAATGAATATATAGTTTCAACGTAAAAGATGTTAAGAAAGTTATGGTTTACAGTAAAATTAAATATTGTTCAGTCCCACAATGTTAAAACGGCAATGATCATAGCAAAATATTTGCATGTGTAGTCCTTTACATTTACTTTTTTTTTTCAAGTTATTGTCAAATTGCTAATAACTTGTCCACAAAGGAATTATACACACCTTAAATAATTCAGCTAGACATAAATTACTTAAAAATATTTGCACTTTTAAAATTTCTTATAAGAGGTTATTCTACTGATATTTAAAATTAAGGTCAGACGACACGTTCCTCAAATATATATAATTTTTTCTAAGAATTCGTCATTGAAGAATAGGTATTAAAAGAAGTTTCCTTACAAAAAATTAAGGTACCTTACCAGGCATTTGGACAAGATACCACATCATATTTCTTAAAAATATTCTGAATGGCTTTTAAAATTTTTGGTTTACTTATATTTAAAAACATTTTGAAAACAATGTAGATATCAGAAGAGAATGTCAAATATGAATAATTTTTGATATTTAAAATTAATAATAATTGTAATCTCAAATAATATATTCTCTTATTCATATTTTGATAGACGTACGTTCATGGTGCTTTACGGAGTCGATCAGTTCGAGTTCTCCGACCATTTCTCACGGTGATGTTCTGCATGCTTTCTTTGCTGTGTGGTCTGGTGAAGTTAGGAATCGGTTCCAGCCATTGGACAGACGTGGCTGCAGGATTCGCCAGTGGGTCATTCATGGCAGTTTATTTGGTAACTATAATACATTAAAAAGGATCTTCATTTTACTTTCAACAATTTAATATTGAAAACATAATTTCTGTAAGAATAAAATAAAATTAGTGTGATTACATGTAACCTCTGTTATAGAATTTCTGTGGCAGGATGCATAATACTGAATGACTTCAAAACTATATTCATAAATGCCTGAAAAGTATAAATTCGAAGTACTGGATTTTTAAAAATGTCCTTACGGAGTAGAATGATTTCAAACGAAAAATAAAATACAAGACTACTCTAATATTGAATATCAAAAATAATAAATATTTAAATAAATAAATTCCCCTTCTAAATCCCCCCTTTTTGCTAAGGACTGGGAGATACCATTCTATACTGTCTATTGCATCCTACCAATTCTTCATTATTAAGTTTGGAAAACTAATTTTTGCAATGGGCTATATGACATATACACATAGCTTGAAGTCATAATGAAGCCTCTTCTCATACTGCAATTTTCCTTCAATGAAACGAGTTGCAACTATCCTTGCTTTGAAAGATTTGCCTCAGAAATATTTTTTTAAAATTTGAACTCTGAGAATTTCTTTTAATTCATATCAATTTCTAATATCTTTCCGACATAAACTTAACTTTTTTGTTTGTGAAATATGAAAATGACGAAGTACTACCTAAAGAGCAAATAATCGAAAATAATTGAAAACAGCAATCGCGGACCCCCCCCCCCCCCCATCTCTCCCGAAAACTTCAGAGGTGACCTGGGAGGAGTGTGTGTTTGTGGTTTTAAGAGATGCCTTTTAACAAAACATGAAATACACACTATAGTTATTATTCCAACATTTTTTTTAAGAGAAATAGACCACTAATACTCAGCAATTTTAACCAATTTTAACACACTTTGAACAATTTTTTTTAAAAAGTGCGTAATTTTCTCAAAGTGCGTTGCCACAAAGCTTGTTCACAAGAGGACGTGTATTCCAATCCAGTTCTAAACTGGTTTTGTTTAAATTTTGCAAGATAAAAGAAACACATTTAAGATAAAAAAGGTTTCAATAACAGAGTTTTACAGCTCTGTTCCATAAGGACATTAAATGTATTGTTTCATTTTTTTCTTGGTGATAAAACCATTGCCATTTATTTGTATTTGTGTTTATATTTGTAAAATAATCATAAATGTCCCTCAAGCTGATAAAACAAGATGATGTTAGTCATAGACAGTTAAACACACATGAAGCTGTTTGTTTATAAAACTATTCACCTCTGTCCTTGAGTAACTATTGAAGAAGCAGTAATTGTTATTCCAGAACAAACATAAATGTTTATGTTTTAAATGGAATACAAAATATTCAGGTGAGCAAGTGGTCTCTGTTTTGTATTATGTATGTCAAAAAATTAATTCATAACCTCTCTTAAATTAAAGAATTTGTATAAATGATATATATATTCTAGCATTATATTAAAAAGATATTTTGGAAGAAAGTTTTCTGCTGAAAAAAAATTAATATTCGACCCCTTTCCTCCTCCTGGAAATAAAGGAAAATTTTGTAACACTATTGCATGTCTGCAGGACAACATCAAACATGTTCTAAGAGTTGATTGGCGTCTGCATACAATGTAATGGAGTTCTTGGAACATAGATTCATTTTTAGAGAAAACGTTTTTCGAGCCTCAATCAACACCCAAGGTGAACTGAAAATTCGAAAACCATAATATTGAACATTTAAAGAACATTTACATCCATATTTCAAAATATAATTTGGCTAATTTATAAAATACTATTATCACCTGCAAGAGCATGTTCTACGTAAGAACAATTTTGAAAATTAATATCTTTATTTCAAATAATAATTTGGCTGATTTATAAAATACTATTATCATCTGCAAGAGCATGTTCTACGTAAGAACAAATTTGAAAATTAATATCCATATTTCAAAATATGATTTGGCTAATTTATAAATTACTATTATCACCTGCAAGAGCATGTTCTATGTAAGAACAATTTTGAAAAAAAGGCTTTTAACAAATAATTAAATGTTACGAGGATATCAATTTGAAGTCAGCAGTTCGAGCGAAACATTGACCTTGTTTGTTAATGAAATCTGACGTTGATTCAAATGATGACTGACATATTTCATCCAAATTGTTTGGCCATTTTTTCACACTGAATTCTCTTTATGGATTTTCTATTAACCCGATCAAGACAAATACACAGTGGGTGGGACCCCTCGAGAGAGGTTGTTTACTGCTCTAAGGTATCTGATCTCCCTCTGTTTTTTGCTTTTTTTTGTTTTGGTTAATAAATGGTGATCACTTTTTCATTATTTTCACATCTTAATTTTTAGGAACTATGAAAAACACAAATGTACTATAGTTAACTATAGTATTAAAGGTTTCACGTTACAGAATCAAGGTTTTCACTTTGAATTACATTATTTTTACTACGGAGATGTATATGTTTTATGTTGAATATTTACATATTATTCAATAATAAGAATTATTGGTATAGAATTTTCAAAGATTTTATACTTTAATTTAATACATGTATTTCAAAAATTTTCGAAAGTAAAGTTTTATAGTAAATTGAAAAATGAAAGTTTTTTTTTATTCTAAAGTTAAATACAGTAAACTTCAGTAAATTTGGACTCGTTTTATATCCTCTGATATTGGTATATATCAGTGTCCTATACTTAACCTTCGGCAACGCAGATTTTCCTCCATTAAGTTTACAATAAAGTTAAATTTTCCCCAGGGAAATTTAAGTAGCTTACAAATATGGAAGCAATCAATGCTCCATGCATAGGAAGTCAATCACCGCATAAATTACTGTAAAGTTCCCCTTTATCATGGAGAATTATCATAATTCGGAATGAAGTGCCTTCAACGTGTTCAACTTGATAACTGTTGTAGATTCTGAATCAGCAGATTTTAGATTTAGAATACTTATAATCTGCTTTCACTAAATTACCTTGAATTATAGTAGAAAAGTACCTGAGTGAACCATAGACATCATCTGACACATATGTTTTATATTTGGATCTGTTATTAGAAAAAGATGTTAATGGTAACCTAACAATAAAGATTTATGATAAACGTGATGACTTCAACTTTTCAATCGTCTACTTCTCTTACTTATGCAGCAATATATCCTTATCATGTGCAGAAACTTAAGCTCACTAGAGTATTTTTGTTATGTTTATGTCAGGGGTATACCTTATCATAGGATAAGGTTTTCTTAATGTCACTGGGTATTTCCAGAAGATGCAATCTTTGGATTGTCCTTAAAATGAAAAGAATTCTTTACAAAGATTTTTTTTTAGAAATATAAATCAAAGTTTTGATAATAGAATCCACGTAATGAAACACCCAGATTTGACTTACAAAAAGATTTATTCTAACTTGAATATTGTTCAATATTTATCAGTATTTTAAGAAAAATATTAATTAATAATAATAACAATTAACAGACACAGGCAGACCGACAAGATCATTAATGATCTGAATAAAGATTTTATATTTAAAATAGATTATGGGCGGTTTCAGCTAGAACCAGAGCTGATACGATTACCATGTTCTTTGCATGTTTCATTATAGTCCGTATTGGCCTACATCATCTGGTTTAAACCAGAGCTGTTGTAATCAGTAATTAGTGCTAGTTTGTAAAAAAATTTTCTACTGGTATTTTGGTTTAATATCTAGATATTCCAGAGAGGGTTCTTATTCTTTATTATTCTTGCAATAACCGGATACGCGGTTCCTTAGCACAAGCCGTGATTAGAAAACCATTCAAGGTAGATGTCTTAATGGAACTGCTATACTTGAAAGAAACCTTGATGGATATTTCCGGAAGGGGAAAAAGTGTTTTAATGATCTAGATACATCTAGAATAAGATACCTGTCTGAAGAAAAAAAAACATCTATTGGCTTCAAGATTAAAAGCTTTATTAAAGACCACGTAGTCCTTTTGCCTTATAGTAAAAATAGAGTTGGTTATAATACCTTTCCTTCATAATAGTTCAATGAAAACGCAACAAAACAGTCAAGTTTGCTTAGTAATAGGGCAACTAAATGTAGAATTACTTCGATCTTGGTGAAACTTTCAATAATATTCAAGGTATAATTGATTTTGTTGTTGTCCATTTTAAGACATTTTGTATAAAAAAAAATCTACATAAACCGTTTTAGCAATACATGATTGCAGAACAATTGCCACATTTCAAGGAATTCTAAAATATACAAAGATTATTTATTCTGAATATTTAACTTTATTCGTAAATATTTATATAATAAACTAAATATTTATTTCCAGGGTCGTTATGTACTAAGAGGATTCAATGAACATGTGGAAGAGAAAAGGGTAATGTCTCAGTTAGACCTAATTCTACAAGAACAACGCTTTTTAGAACAACTAATTAGAGAGGTAACGGAAGTCGTTATTATTTTACAAAGACTGATGTAGAATTATCATCTTCATTAAAAATGTTGTGAATATTTTTATGAAATGCTGATGCAGTCAAGGAAATGATTTGATTTTTTCTTTACGTTATTTTACACGAACTCAGGAGTATTTTAGAATTCTATTTAAATTTATATCAACCAAATTCATTGCTGTAGAATGAGAGATATGTAATGACTGAATAATAACTTCAAATTTCATGCAGTTCTTAAAATATATGACCTTAGGACCTTACTACACATTGGATTATTTTTTAGAGTAAGGATGTTACAGCAATTTTTAAAATAGATATTAACAAATACGAGACCAAAATAAGTTTTATACAATGAAACCTTGCGGGGTAAATGCTGTTCTTGAATTGCAATTTTATAATTAACATTGGGTTTCATGTTACAGCTTGGCACACCATCATCGTTGCCCTTGCAAGGTTACCAGATACCCAGAGCACACACGGATGATAGGTGGCGCCCCCTTAACAACAAGGCTTAGTACAACGGTCCTTGAATAATGAAGACACTGACATGCATAGACAATCTGTATTGATTTTCTCGGATGAATCTTCTCTGTTTATGAGCTGTGATTTAACTTAAGTTGGCTGCAAAATTTGTTTATCAGGATTACATTATCTCTTGTTTACATCTTCTTTCATGTAAATACCAAAACCAATTTGTTGTCTACTTATTGGAAGAAGTAATTACTATTTAAAACTTATTAAAATGACTAATCATTTTCTTCAGTGTTTTAATTAGTACATACAAAATACAAAATCATCTCACAGAGAGATTGTTATTACTTAGTGAATGGTGAGGCATCAGAAAATTCTTAGTTTTTTTATGAATCATAAATATGCGTTCAAAATTGCGTATTCTTTTTCTTATCTTTTTTTAATTTTATCGATTTCATCTTGTTTGAGATAAAACAGTCAATTAATCGTAAAAAAATATTTGCAAAACAATATCATCTGTTGATATCAAATCCTCGAAATGAAATGGTTATAGATTCAAATTAGTTTCTTTTATCCCGGATTTTATCGTCTTTCTCGTATTGCTCGTATTTTACCATCACGACACTTCCGTTAATGGTAGATTACGGGTGGGAACTTCCTTTCGGTCGCTTATCTCCCCTGTAACCATGGTGTGTGAAAGATTGTCTCGTGCGGGCTGACAGTCAATGATTTTTTTGCAGGATGTTGGACGATTGGATCAAGCCATGTCGTAAGATTAGATCTAACTTCAGTTTTATGGTCCACAGAAATGTATTAAAACCATCATTTAGAATGGTTGGTGCATTGAAAATTGATCTTTCATTCAAAAATGGCTGATAATGAATGTTATCATTAGACCCATGTCATAAAATGAAGATTAATCAAACTACAAATTCATAGTTCTTTTAGCCTGGTTCGGAGAAAAAAAATTAAATTACTGATTTTAATTAAGACATAGACATGTTTTTTTTTAATCAAAGAAATATTAAAATTTAACATTTTATATAAAACATAATTTTCCGAATAACGTGACTTCGACTTTGACACCGGAAGATTTAAATTACTTTCTTATGTTTGATTTAACGTTTGAGTTGTCTCAGTAGTGCTCGTTAACACGCACTATTTGTTCACATGTGAACTTAAGTTGGCGGCTGTTTAATCAGCATCAGGATAAAAATACAAGGCGGCAATAATGGTTCTGACTTAAATGTAAAGAAATGTTATTAAAATGTAGGCTTGTAATCGAGTAAGTTAATTGCTTTATAATGTATACATTTAAAAAAACTCATAACATATCATATTCAAAAATCATCTTCGCTAGACAAGGGTTTCTGATACGCTACTCTCCTTATACGCCCTTGGAGAGTAGGGTATCAGAACCCCTTGGCTAGCGAAGATGCAATAAAATCAGTAAGAAGATAGTTGTCTTTTTACTGGTTAAAAATAAAAAAAGTTTAGTATGTGTAAATAAGTGTTCAGCATTCTTAGGAGAATTAACGGGGTACTTAAAACTTATTCATGATTTTTAAAAGATTAAAATAAGTTAATTTTTGACAGCTAAATAAATGTAATCTTGCCAAATTGTGACGTTTATTGGTTCAAAGAAACAATGATTTTTAAATGTCCTCAACTCCAAAATTAAGGATTTAAAAAAAAAATTTGTTTTATATAATCAAAATCATTCCAAAAATATACATATTCATGAATCCGTGCATCAAATTTTTGTTTGTGTTAAGTATCCTTAACCTGCAGTATATTTGAATTAGTACTGTATTAAACATTAACGAACTGTTACTGAACTAAAAAGGTTTAGCACATAAAACATAAAACTGGATCGTATTTTGATTGATTTTTTTCATACCAAATGTTAAAATTTGTTTTTATACTGAATTTGAAAACGAAAAATCAGTCCAACTTATCAATATTTAATTATTTACGCTTACTCCTCGTAGGCATCTAATCCCACCCCTGGTGTTTTTGGAGTTCGTGATTTATCCCTGGTCACAGACCTGTATTGTTTGTAGACTTTTTGAGACAGATCAATACTGTCTTAAAAACTATGTCAAGATGAGGAAACTAAAAAAAGAACCTCTTGAATTTTGCGATGATTAGCCCATGTTATTATTAGTCAACCACTTTTCTTCAGAAGTCTGACAATTTCGGATGCCATTGTTAGTTCAGGCTAGGTGTTAAGATTGGGTATCAATGCGCCTGACTGCTACTTCTTCCAATTTATCGACTTGAAAGCTTTCAAGAATATCTAAATTTAACCATTTCCAAACAGAAAATTTTACAACAAATCACGGATTTCAGATGGTATTAAATGAAACCTTGTCTGAAGGAAACAAGGCCAATGACAATTAGTTATTGCAGTGATACGAGAACAGAAATCAATGCTTGAGTAGTTTAAGCCCCACTGCTTTCAGCAGCAGACGATATTTCTACCTGTAAAGCAGCTTTGCCGCTCTCCATTTAATATTGATGTGGACATGTAGTATATATATACCCAGATATCCATCAGCTCCTTTCAGTCTAACAGAGTATCCTGGGTCGAGAACAATGAAACTGGAATAAATACTGAACAAATCAGTAGTTCACTGAGTGAAAAACTAAGTAACACTGAAGCAATGTTTCGAAGTGTGTTCAACATTCGTGGACATTCTTTTGAGGATGATGATCCAGCTTCTTGTGTTAAAATGGCAGCCAGGGGGATTCATGGTGACGAAATGTCCACCTTTTTAACGACAAATGTTCCCCACGATGATGATTTTATACCGAACAATCACATGTGTGACTATGATTCTTTTGACTGCAAGCAAGAGGTTTCAACTAAAGCCGAGATTCCTTCAGGAAGAGCCAAATGTTACACCCTTTCTGACGATGAGTGCATTCCAGATCGTAGTGATTGCAGGTGCGTCCCTTCTACAAACGATAACAAGAAAACTATAAAAGTGGCAAGAAGTTTAGACAAAATTGAATTCAAAGGAAACAGATACAAGATTCAGATAAAGACTAAAAAAAGCAAGTCTTATGACAGTGCCTTTGGGACGGCTGTGAAAAAAGAGGGGTAAGCTCATATCTTACAATCACCCCGTTCATAAACAGGAGGTGCTATGTACTCGTCTGTTGGAACGAGTTCACTCATTGTGCTCAACTGAGTCCATTCATAGACATAACTTTTTTGTTACGGTAAACATGTGGTACATGAATCTCATGTCGTATCTGTGTACCAAAATGTTAGAGTGAATGTATCGGATTTTTGGATAAATTTTGATGTGTTTATTTTTTCAGGACGACGAAAACTGTTCAGTATTTTGTATTTTATATTGTTTTAAGATACTGTTGTGATGTTTTGATTATATTTCTACAAAATAAAAGACAAAAAAGATATTTGTTTCTCCTTTGTATTGAAAGAATAAATGTACGAGTATTTACCTCAGCAACTTTTAAAATCATTGCCTGGTAAACATATTGTTACATCCTTTTTCAACGAAGAAAATGTCAGTTATTTTAAAAATGGCTATTATAGGCATTTGATAAATCCATATCAAATCAAGTATTCATTTTTATGAAAACTGTATATTGTTTAACCATACATGGTCTTACAGCTGAATTTCTCGTATTCATATAGTTTTATGCACGTCGGCTGCTGTGAGTTATTCTCAAATTAGCTGCCACCTCGCAGGATATGTACTACTAACCAATCCTCAGTTCTTTTGCCATTCCCTTGAACTATGATTGGCTCCTACTTAAATGAATTCCACGACTGCCATTTGAAACATATATTAGCTTGTTTAATGCGACAATTGTAACAGCTAACGTAAACTTATTGCAGCAAAGTCTTCTGAACAAAACTAACATACTAGTAGCTGCTTGCAATTGATGTCATTTTGATTCCAAAAACTGAATTATTTCACATTATGTATAACAGTCAGTGGTTGTTATTAAAAACGATTATATACCTATATTATATAAATACTACAAATAATAAAGTACTTAAATGTCAACAAATACGTCATCTTGCATTCCTTTTGATGCAGAATTTCACGCATTACACAATATTTTACCATTCTTATAAAAGATTTGAGTTTTTCATAACTGAAATGGATTTTTCCGTTTACCTTATTATGACAAGGAGTATAACGTTGGTGTGACAGGTCAACAGGGAAGCTTACTCCTCTATGGCACCTGTTCTAACCTCTGTATTTTGGAGGTCTATATTGGGACTGGTCATATTTTGCATTGTTTACATGCATGTTCACTGCTCCTTTATCTTCACAATTTATTTACATTACAACTGTTTCCATCCAGTTGGGTTTTGCATTTCTTCCCAATTTAGTATAATTTCATTCAGTATTTTTCCTCTGAATTTATTTTAAGGTTTATAGTTTACATGTTTTCTTGACTTTTTATATTTTTTATAAAAGGAAAAGACACTTCATAGAAATAAAAGTTATAAAGATGATAACTAATTGTTTAATTGTTGGTAACACTTTGTAAAATGTCTAGACCATTAACATGCACATGAGCCTCAAATCATTTTATTTTTAGAGAAAGCTGAACGCACAGACTCTTTAAAGCATCCCTTTTCTTTTTGCAAATTGTTTTATTTTCTACCAATCTGAGACTCCATTATCACATTATTACACGGCAGTGATAATTTCTGTTACATGTATTGAGGTCTTAAGGTCTTGCAATTGACCATTAGAAAATTTTGCTTTTGCATACAATTATGTATAAATGTACCAATTTTGAAATACAACAAAAACTTTAAAAGTTTGAAGAATCGGTATTTATTTTATCAAAATAATCTTACACGGAGACTGCGAAATAGCTACATCTTTGACTAAATGTACAAAAGAATGAAAAATAAAATTGCAATAAAACTCAACATGACAACATCCAAGCCAGTAATATTTCTGAAAAACCTTTTTCATCTTACGGCGTAAAACATTCAAATTCAACATTATACAGTAGACCACGACTGTAATGCGAGAGAAATAGCTGCGGGATTTGCAATTCATGAGATGATTTTATATCTCTGTTACATTGCTAGTATCAAATCGACGCTAATATTCAAAGCTTATTGAAAATATCACTAAACAGATTCACTTTTCAGGCGGATTTCCATGGATATGAGTTCACACTTTCCTAAGGCATTAAACGATGGCCAACACGTTGCAAGGAAAAAACCTGCCTTGAAAATTCAAATACACTCTATGGTCTGAAATGAAATCTGTAAAACAT